GGACAGAATCCGGTGCCCTGACCGGGACTAGAACCCCAGGTGCCCGCGCCGCAGGCAGAAGATTAGCCTAGTGAGCTGCGGCTCCAGCCAACTTGTTTTGTTTTACTAACTGCTTTAATATAATGAAAATATGACAGGAGGGGCCGGCACTGTGGCTTACTTGGTTAATCCTCCGCCTGCGGCACCGGCACCGCATATGGGCGCCAGGTTCTAGTCCTGGTTGCTCCTCTTCCACTCCAGCTCCCTGCTGTGGCCCAGGAGGGCAGTGAAGGATGGCCCAAGTGCTTGGGCCCTGCACCTGCATGGGAGACCAGGGGGAAGCACCTGGCTCCTGGCTTAGGATCGGCACAGTGCCGGCCGTGGCAGCCATTAGGGGAGTGAACCAATGGAAGGAAGACCTTTCTCTCTGTCTCTCTCTCTCTCTGTCTATAACTCTACCTGTCAAATTAAAAAAAAAATATGACAGGAAAATTAGTTTTATCAAAGAAATGATTGTTAACTTTATTAAGTAAATATGTTATTAATTAGACCACAAATGCTAACCTTTAAAATCTCTGGTAAGTATAATTAACTTTTTATTTAGTGTTATTATAAGAAGTTCCAAAGCTAAATAAGAATAGAAATATAAAAATGCACTTAAGTTCGACATGTAAAAATTATGCTATAAAGAAAATGACTTTAGAACATAAAATCTATAAGGATTTGAATTGGCAAGCGTGTGCATAATTCCTTTTGTACTTATTTTGTATTATTTTTGTTATCGTTGTTTCAGTATTAAATCCTTAAAAACATACTATCCACTGACAGAAGCAATGACCTGTTACATTTACAGAGCATGTCACAAAAACCTCAGCTTACAAATTGCATATTTGCTTTCTATATGTGGAATTCACGTTTCTTTGCATATTACTACTAATAAATTATTTAACACTTTACATAAATATTTTTAACAAATCTACCAAGAATTCAATTTTACCTATAAAAGCAAATTGTGGATTAGTGTTTGTTAAAAAAAAGGCAGCAACAACAAATTATATGTGCAATTTTTGTCACCCTTGATATCATAGCAAAACTTTCAAGAATTTGATTCATTTCTTTTTAGAAGAAATATATCTTAAGTAAAGCACATATAAATAGGGTAATTTAAGCTGAACAACTGCATTCTGTGGTATACAAGACAACCATAGACAGCTGCATTTGCTCCAATGCAAACAGACCCGTTCACATAGCCCTGGGGAGAAAATGGCTGAAGGTGACTAACCTTTGCCAAGGTGACACATTCTCAAGGGGAGCACCACAAATAGGATCATGTGAAGAATGTTTTCAATCCCAGTTTCCAAAGGTCCTCAGGAACGTGGGGGCAAGAGAGAGGGGGCTGGTAGTCTTAGGAGGAAACCCCGATGAACAGCAAGTGTGCTCTTGGAACAGGTTATTAATTTCCACGTTTACATCATGACAGTGAGTTCTTGGCAAAAGATTTGTTTGTAATGTTATTCCCAAGTTTCCTGCAGCATTTGCACATCTCCCTTGTGAGATTTAGTTGTTTTCACATTATGACTCAGGAGTAAAAACAAATGAAATGTGCAAAATTCAGGTTTTTCAACTGAATCAAAAGTGCAAGAAATTTTAAAGAACAGAATGCATAGGTATACATTTTTGATGGGAAACAGTAGTAAATTAGAGGATACAAAAAGCAAATGTCTCAAAAACATGACTGAATCTTCTAGAATTCACTGCTTTTCTCAACTGAATGAAAATTTTTTCTTTCCTATTCTTTTCAAAAACAAGCACATGTTGACCAAGATAAAAACCAACCTAGTCAAGAACAAAGAATGACATTTATTTGGCGGTTAAATAAGATCACAATTCAGGAGACACTGAATTCAAGCAGTCTTGAAGATAGGTTCTGAGATTCTACAAGACAGAGACTGTTTTGTAGCTTTATTAATAACATCTCTTGTTTGTCAAGACTTGTGATTGAGGGACTGGGCATTTGGCTTGATGGTTAAGCTCGGGGTTGGGAATCCCTGCAATCCCATATAGGAGTGTTTAGGTTCAACAACTGCCTCTGACTCCTGACTCCAGCTTCCTGCTAACACAGACCATGGTAATCACCCAGGTACAACTTAAGTATTTGAGTCCCTACCACCTTTGTGGTAGCCTTGAGTTGAATTCTGGGTACCCGGCTGTGGCCCAGCCCAGTCCCAGTCACTACAGGCATTTGGGGAATGGACTAGCAGATCAAAGCTCTCTTTCTTTCTTCTCTCCTTGAAGTGAATTTTTCTTTAATTTCTTATTAAAGAATTATGAACAGTACAGCAAGGGTTTGCAAGAGAGGAGCAAGCAAGAGGGATGACTTCATGAACTGTTACAAAGACTGATGAAGTTTGTCCCAGAACTGCAGTTCAGCCCAGTTCAGAAAGTCAGCACACACTCAGGTGGGTATGTGAAGACAGCTAAGTTCAAAAGTTCAGCTCAGAAATTCACTGTGGTTGTACTTCAGTTCAAAAGTTTAACCCTGCATGTGTCTGAGACCTGCTTAACAAGGGCCTCCCAACTCCATTTTGAGTGCCTGAACCAATACTACTCCACTTTGATTATATTCCTTGAAAACAATAACCTTAATGTTCTTTAAGCATAGTGGCTCTGATTCTATTTTCTGAATTCTAGAATTATAATGGAGATCAAAATGAGCATATAGGAGAAAACAATCCAAGCTTATTACCTGAGTTAATTACACCCCAGTTGTATCTTTTTCTTTTTTTAAACTTGATAAGGATGAAAGAAAAAAAGTGGTCAAAATTGCACCTTACAATAATTCCTTTAAATCTTTAATACACCGCAGGAAAATATGATGGATGGGGAGGAGTGACCCTACACACAAATCACTACTGATATGGGGGAAACGGCAGGAAGATTAGGTAGGAATAGATAAGATGGAAGATTTCTTACAATATCTGCACTGCCCTGCACTGTCTTACATGCCTCCACTCCCTTACCTATCAATCCAATATGTGCATTTTCCAATGATACACTTGTGTCTCATCCAGGACCTGGAAGGAGGCAATGGTATCATGGCCATACAGAAGCTAAACTCCACGTGGAGGTTCCATGAAATTCCCAGATGACTCATGCACACTAAAATCCACCCAAACTTCACACCCCTATCCCTTTATTATTATTATTATTATTATTTGACAGGCAGAGTGGACAGTGAGAGAGAGAGAGAGACAGAGAGAAAGGTCTTCCTTTGCCGTTAGTTCACCCTCCAGCAGCCGCCACGGCCAGCGCGCTGCGGCCGGCGCACCGCGCTGATCTGATGGCAGGAGCCAGGCACTTATCCTGGTCTCCCATGGGGTGCAGGGCCCAAGCACCTGGGCCATCCTCCACTGCACTCCCAGGCCACAGCAGAGAGCTGGCCTGGAAGAGGGGCAACCGGGACAGAATCCGGCGCCCCGACCGGGACTAGAACCCTGTGTGCCGGTGCCGCAAGATGGAGGATTAGCCTAGTGAGCCTTCACGCCGGCTTACACCCCTATCCCTTAATGTGGATTGGTACAGGTGGAAGTAGCTCCTTGTTTCTTTTGGTTTCCTGCCCTTGCTGTTGTCTTCTCTGTCCTCCTCCCATGCTCTCTCCAGATAGGCAACTCCCTAGCCCACTCATGCCAGGTATCTCTCTTTGGAAAGTTGCTCTTGCTTGTGCACCTTACTTACGTCCCTGCTTTGAATTCATATGTCTGTGCAGGCAAGAACTTGGAATAAAAACCGAGATACACATTCCCATAACACTACCTTAAGGGATTCCTCCTTCTTGCTGACAACAGCAGCTCACTAATAGCGCAGGATATTGGAAGGTTGATTTGAGTTCTAGGAATATTTAGGGTGCTTTCTTCCTTGTCTGTTACCCAGTCAACAATTATTCAGCCAATAAAAGAAACATGCAGAGAGAGAAAAGGCTTTTAAAATATCTTCCTAGCTCAGAATATTTGATTTGACTTAGCACCCTGCAATCACCCACAGCATACACTGTGGTCTCACAGCTCTCTATTAAATTCATCAACACTCTGCTACTGATTTAGCACAAATCCCAGAGTCATGTTTCCCACTCTCTACCACAGAATCAATCCTTATAGATTCCACTTCCTTAAGGACTCAAATTCAATTCCTTTCCGACATTCCAACATGCTCCATGTAACGTCAATACATTAAGTAGTCTCCCAATTGTTATCCTAGCAACCAACTCTACTCACATTCCACAAACATCTACCTATCACCCTATCCCTCACTTAAACCACACAAGAATACCAAGGAATCCCTTATAAAACACATTGTCATTAAGTATGTAGGTTCTATGTATTGCTACAACCAATACTATTGTAGGTGTTGTAATGTGCTTTGGCTTTCTACCACCATTTGTAAAATAAAAAGCCAGTATTTATATCCTGGTTTTAAAAATACTACAAAGGTATTATTGACCAACAAGATATTAGTAAGTGGAGTTTAAGACAACATTCAATCTACTGGCTCAGCCACAGAATACAGAATATAACATTCTCCGCTACATCAAAACAATCTTAAGTAAAACTTAGTGAGGGGCCAGCATTGTGGTAGAGAGAATATACCCTCCCCATCCAGCACCCTACTAATGTGCCTGGAAAAGCAGATGAAGATGATCCAAGTGTTTGGACTCCTACCACCCCCTTGGAAGACCCAGATGAAATCTCAGATGAAATGAGCTAGCCCCAGCCATGGTGGCCTTTTGGGGAGAGAACCAGCAAATGGAAGATCTCTCACTTTGTCTCTCTCAAGTTTAAAAGTTTCACATGAAAACATCAGGGAATAACAACAGGAAAAGTTATATGGAAAGACAGTTTCCAGGAGTCAATTAGTAGGGGCTAGCGCTGTGGCACAGTGGGTTAACCCTCTGGCCTGAAGCGCCAGCATCCCATATGGGCGCATGCTCGAGTCCTGGCTGCTCCACTTCCAATCCAGCTCTCTGCTATAGCCTGGGAAAGCAGCAGAAGATGGCACAAGTCCTTGGGCCCCTGCACCCATGTGGGAGACCTGGAAGAAGCTCCTGGCTCCTGGCTTCGAATCGGCTCAGCTCCGGCTATTGCGGCCAATTGGGGAGTGAGCCATTGGATGGAAGACCTCTCTCTCCTCTTCTCTCTGTGTAACTCTGACTTTAAAATAAATAAATAGATCTAAAAAAAAAAAAAAAAAAAAAATGGCCGGCGCCGCGGCTCAGTAGGCTGGCTAATCCTCTGCCTTGCGGCACCGGCACACCAGGTTCTAGTCCTGGTCGGGATGCCGGATTCTGTCCCAGTTGCCCCTCTTCCAGGCCAGCTCTCTGCTGTGGCCAGGGAGTGCAGTGGAGGATGGCCCAAGTACTTGGGCCCTGCACCCCATGGGAGACCAGGAGAAGCACCTGGCTCCTGCCATCGGATCAGCGCAGTGCACCGGCCGCGGCAGCCATTGGAGGGTGAACCAACGGCAAAGGAAGACCTTTCTCTCTTTCTCTCTCTCTCACTGTCGACTCTGCCTGTCAAAAAAAAAAAAAAAATCAAAAAAAAAAAAAAAGGAAAAATAACTGCCCTAGAATTAGATAAAGTCCAATGACTTCAATGCTTTTACTCCTGTCTGTTGTCTCTGTGTGGAAGTGACTTTCTTGGTGTCCTCCTAGGTAGCAGAAAGAGGACATGGAACAGGGTTGGGGTACATCCAGCCCACTGGCCATATAAGACCCATGAAATCATTTGGTATGGTCTTACCAAGGCAGCAACAGGTAAGACTCCAAATTCAATAAATCTATGTAGCAGGCTAGTTTTTAACTTCATAATGTTGTATGGCCCACGAATGATGTTATAGATATCCAAATGGTCCTTGGCAGAAAAAAAGATCTCTACCCTCCTTGACTGGCCCAGTGACATTCCTAGCTTCCTCTCTGGGCTTCATTCCTCTGGGAAATCAGCTATTTCCTACTAGGGTGTAGCATTAACTCCTTGCTGCCTTTCTTCAATCTATTCTTTAAAAATTACTTAAAAGAAAATGGCACTTGATTGACGTTAGAAGACTTCTTTTTCTGCTTCTTACATTGAAATCACCTAACTCTGAGTCTCCAGCTTCTCACCTACATTCTGGCTACACATTCCGTTACACAAACACTTCCTTTAAAAGAATACTTGAGTCATTTCACATCTGATCTGGATTCAGAAGGAAAATCTGTGCAAGCTTGATGCAGCCATGTCCACACTCGGTCTTTCTCTGGGTATGCTGTCTTACAGAGGAGAGGAGACACATTCTGGTTTGATCTACACAGTGTGATAATTTTACCAGGGCACACTGTATTACTATAAAGGGAAAGCCATAGTTTGAAAAATAAGTTCAAATGAAAAATTCCATTTCACCATAGAGTCAAGTCACGTCTCTAGTGAAGCCTGATGAAGATTAAACAACAGTCAGGGGTTAGCTGTATCTATGTTTCCTTCTGTTTAATTAATTAGTTTAGTGAGTAATTAGGATACCAAAGCCATTATGTTATGAGTAGTAGGAATGCCTGGATAAATAAAACAGTTTCTCTTTTTCTCAAATAGTTTCTCTCCCAAGGTTTGATTGGTTCATTAGTTGCTAACAAGCCAGAATTATGAAAGCCATATAGAGGTATAAAGTGTTATTAGAGTTCTCATGTACTGTAGAACTTCATGTGACTTAATTCATTGCCATCAGAATTAACCTATACTACAGCTAAGTGCCCAAATCATACAACTACCTGCTCCAGACATGTGCTGCTACACCATAAAGCTGTTAAGCAATGCTAGGATTTGATTTCCAGTTCACTATTACAGACAAGCTCCTCTGAATTTAGAATCATTATAGTCAGTATTATCCAGGTTTTCCATGGAAACATTAGCAAACATGACTGACTGACTCACAACAGGAACTCTCAATTCATGATTTCTGGGCCAGGCTCTGAATGGAGAAGACTAAAAATTTAACTTAATTTTTTCCTAGTTTTGCCAAAGTGTGGCAAATCCAGCCTGGAAGAAGATTCCTAATTATTGGCCTATTAGCATCACTATCAACCCACATAATTCACAGTCTACGCAGAAAGAAATGAGGACACAGTGAGTGCGTTAGAGGAAATTTAAATGCAGAGAATACAACTGAGCCTGTTCAGCTTCCATCCCTACCAATGTCTTCACACTGTTTCAAGGGAGAGAAGCACACAGAGGAGACATGGCAAGGGATTTGATAGGTAATTTAGTGGGCAACTTCCTCTAAATCACTGCAGTGATGTTTCTGGTTGTTGTTGCTATAGTTCAAATGGTTCCTGTTTTTTTCTATCCTGTAATCTATTGAATTAAAGTCAAAGCAGAAGCAAGAATGAGTGATATCCTGTGTAGGTTCAGTGTTCTAAAAGTTCTCCATGGTCACCCAAAGATCTACATACATGTATTCCCAGATAGATAAGTCCTTTGGGGAAAGCCCTCTGAATTTTGTGATTTTTTTAACTGTTTCCAGGCCAATTAGATGCCTATTAGTAAACTGTGTGAGAAGTAGGGTCATAAAATAAAAATAGAAGGAAGTGACAGAAGGGCACCACAAAGATGCCAGATATAATTTAAGGAAAAACAGAAATCTCACTTAACTAAAAGCACACAGGGTGATTTTCAGTGTTTGTTTCTTAAACACCCAATAAGGCCTGTGATTCAGTAGTTAAGAGGCCAATTTAAAGAAGTGGAATTCCTTGTATTTCAGGTATCTTTATAAAGACTGTGTTTTGTTTTGCTTGCCCTCCTCCTATAGAAAACCTAGGGAGCCAAAAGACAGGCACAGACAAGTTGTTCCCTAAGAGCAGTGCACAATTTAAAGCTGGATATGAAATCTTGGCATACTGCTATTTGCCTTTTTGTGTAGGTAGCTAGAATGAGTAAGTAGATCTTCCATGCCCAATTCTACTAGAAGAATCTATGCTAGGGGCCTGTACCATGGCTCACTTGGTTAACCCTCCGCCTGTGGCGCTGGCATCCCATATGGGTGCCCGGTTCTAGTCCTGGTTGCTCCTCTTCCAGTCCAGCTCTCTGCTGTGGCCCAGGAAGGCAGTGGAGGATGGCCCAAGTGCTTGTGCGCCTGCACCTGCACCTGCATGGGAGACCAGAAGGAAGCAGCTGGCTCCCGGCTTCAGATCGGCACAGCGCTGGCCGTAGCGGCCATTTGGGGGATGAACCAAAGGAAGGAAGATCTTTCTTTCTCTCTCTCTCTCTCTCTCTCTCTCTAACTCTGTCAAATAATAAAAAAAAAAATTTAAAAAAAAGAAGAATCTATGCTGTTTCAGTGACCCTTGGTTCTCCTCCACTTTGCTGGGAAAGCCTTGAATAGGCATCATTTATCTATTGATACTGGGAGATGTGCAAGACATGTTGGCTGAATTGAGTATGTATTGTGCCTTCAAACATGGCTACTGTGGTGAAGGTCTAAAATGTTGACCAAATAAGTGTTTCTACCAGGCCTAAAGAAAAAGCCCCATAGTAAGACCAGAGAACATGGCATCAAGAAGTAGCAATTTTTATTTGTCTATTTAAGAGACACCTCTCTTAACAAAATGTCTTTTTGGGTGGGCATTTGGCAGAGCAATTAATATGCAGCTTGGGATATCCACGCCCCAAACTGGAGTGTTCGTTTCAGTCTTAGCTCCACTACCTATTTTAGCTTCCTGCTAATGTGCACCCTGGGAGGCAATAAGTAATGGTCAAGTGGATGGTCAAGTAGAAGATTCTCTCCCCAGCCAATCTTTCAAATAAACAATAATTTTTAAAAATCTTTAAAAACTCAATATTCAAACTAGGGTTTTCTCACTTTCAAAATATTTTTTATCTAGGATTTCTTTTTACAGTGTGCTGCACACTTTTCCTAGTACCAGAAAGTTTGCATGCTTAAACAGTAACATTAAAACACTGAGATTCACAATGTAAGAAAGCTAAAATAGGCCAGCACCGCGGCTCAATAGGCTAATCCTCCGCCTTGCAGCACCGGCACCCTGGGTTCTAGTCCCAGTCGGGGCGCCGGATTCTGTCCCGGTTGCCATTTGGGTGGTGAACCAACGGAAACGGAAGGAAGACCTTTCTCTCTGTCTCTCTCTCACTGTCTAACTCTGCCTGTCAAAACAAAACAAAACAAAACAAAACAAAAAAAGCAAAACAAACAAACAAAAAAAACAGGAGTCACTGTGCACTTACTCCTCATTTAGGATCTCTCTCCTTAATGTGTTGTACTATAAGAATTAACAGTAAAACTATTCTTCAAACAGTACTTTATACTTTGTGTGTCTGTGGGGTACCAATTGTTGAAATCTTGACTCAGTATAGAGTTGATCTTCTGTACATCAAGATAATTGAAAATGAATCTTAATGAAGAATGGGATGGGAGAGGGAGTAGGAGATTGGATGGTTGCAGGTGAGAGGGTGGTTATAGGGGGAAAAACCCTATAATCCAAAAGTCGTACTTTTGAAATTTATATTTATTAAATAAAAGTTTAAAAAAGAAAAGAAAATACCTCTGTATCAGAAGCATTAACCCTCAAAGTTTTAGACACTATCCTATTTGTAACTGAAAAAACAGAGTAAGTCTAGAAAATATAGTACTTAAGGAAGAAATAATACTAATAGCTAACATCCTCATAACATGCCAAATTCTGTGATGTATACACAATGTGAATCAACACAGTTAACCCTCAAAACAGCACTAGAATGTGGATACTTTTTGTTGTCTTCATTTTACACATGAGAAAAAAGTGATGCTTGGACAGATTTTAATTAGTAAGCATCAGAGTCTATAGTCCAAGCTCTTAATAATGAAGAGGCAGGAACAAACTGGTTCCCTTAGTAAACCATGCATTCAGTAAGAGGCATTTGATATATTGCAACTTATCTCAACAATCATTCTTTTAGTACGGAATAAAAATGCAATCAAAGGAACAAATTAAAAATGCATCACACAGACAGCCAGTGCTGTGGCATAGTGGGTAATGCCACTGCCTGCACTGCCAGCATCCCATATGGCACCAGTTTGAGTCCCAGATACTCCACTTCCAATCGAGCTCTCTGCTATGGCCTGGGAAAGCAGTAGAAGAGGCCCAAGTCCTTGGGGCCTTGAACCCGCGTAGGAGACCCAGAAGAAGCTCCTGGCTTTGGATCAGCTCAGCTCCATCTGTTGTGGCCATTTGGGGAGTGAACCAGAGGATGGAAGACCTCTCTCTCTCTGCCTCTGCCTCTCTGTAACTGTCTTTCAAATGAATAAATACTTTTTAAAAATGCATTCACATTAAGATCCTCTACCTCCATAAGCAGCATGACATAAAATAACTAGATGAACTAAAAAAGCTCTCCACGCCAGGGGGTACTCACAAGGAAGCTCTCTTGGCACAAAGAATCCTAAAGTCCTTTGGTTTCCAAGATCCCCTGGTCTAAGGCTTCAAAGGAAAGCATTGTCCCTTAAAAGTGACTCCTAGAAGGAAAGAACAGAGTATCCACTTAAATATTGAGATGCATGATTTAAAAATGAAAAAGGTATCCAACTTTATCACATTAGCTGAAACTGATTTTCCCTCCTTCAAACTCTAAGGTTTTACTTAAAGCCTCCTCTACATTTGGATAGAGTATTTGTTAAATTAGTTGACACCATCAACAATTCCATGCTGTAACAATGGTATCTGCCTTTATTTGTCCCCGCCTTTTCCTTTTTCCTTTTTTTTTTCTGTCTTAAGTCAAATTTCCCCAAACACAGAGGAGTTTCTACAAAACATTAAAGAGATTCATTCAATCTAGAGTCACTGGGTTTTATAGCAATAACTTGTTATTAACTTCTGTGTGATGTTTCCTCCACTTTCAGCAAGATAATTTATGTGTGAACACACTTGAAATTTTTAAATACATTAAAACTATATTTACATTAAATGTATTGTACTTTATTTGTTGGAAAGGCAGAGTTACGGAGAGAGAGTGAGCAACAGAGATATTGAGAGGTCTTCCATCTGCTGATTCACTCCCCAAATGGCTTAACAGCCAGGGCATGTGGATGAGATGGTAGGGAACCAAGCACTTAGACCATCTTTTGCTGTTTTGCCAGGCACATTACCAGGGAGCTGGATCAGATGCGAAGTAGCTGGGACTTGAACCAGCGGTCATACGGGATGCTAGTGTCACAGACAGTGGCTTAACCCATTGCACCACAACACCAGCTCCTACATTGAATTTATTAATTAAATTTGAAGTAATATTTCATTAACATGTCTAAAAATTAATGAGAAACACTATGAAAAGATCATCAAAATTGGACCACCATTTCTTGCATGTACTTTGATTATATGGGCCTTGTCATAAATTTTTGATTTTTCTATCCAATTCCTTTCTATGAAAAAGAAAAATATGCATATGGTTGTATCTACCCCAAAATTATGATCATTAGTTAAGGCAGATAACATCTTTAAGATACCTACTACAGTATTCAGCAACAAAAATTACTATTAATAATAATTATTATTTATAGTTGCTACTTAGGACAGTGAACAAATATTAGTTCATATAGTTAAAACATACTGCATTCCTGCTAATTCACCATCTGAAAAATAAGAGAATTATTAAAGTACACAGTCATAATTATTTTATTATAAAACCAATATAACCAACCTTCAGATATAATAAAAAATCAGATTATTTTGTAGTAGCTCAGTGCTACACAAATACATTTCACATAAGCAAGGACAAAGAGGAGAGAATAGAGGTAATACGAGGTCATTTAGATAGTGTTTGGAATGTTACCTCATTTGACAAGAGAACATTGTAGTCTAAAATGGAAGGAATTTTAGACTGACAATCTGTTTACTGTGTAAGTTCCAAGACTAAAATAAGCAAGGTATTTACATACAATTTTCTCCATTTAGTATAAATAAAAAAAAATCAATTCTATCTGCAAATAAGCTTCTTATACTGGTAATTAACTTGATTTGAATTTAGAATCAATATTAAGATATTTCACAAAATTAATGGTATTATTCCACAATAAGTGAGATGTGTACTGTAAACATTTTTAAAGACAAAACATCTTATTATAACTAACTTTCTTGCTTCAGTGACTCATACTGAAATGTAGAATACTGAATTTATTTTAAAGATGTCATAACATATTAGTTCTATTTGCTACAACCCACTTTTTTCTGTGTAATTATATTCCTTAAAAGCAACAATTCCCATCTTTTGATATACATATGAAATAAAATTACATTACTAATACTTGGGAATGATGTGATAGGAAGTTCCCTTTTTATTTTCTTTTTCTGTCAACAACTTATTCTAATGATGTGAGTTTAAAAATTCCATTTCCCCTACAACATTAGAACAACAAAGTTAATTTTAATTTCTGAGGTTTTATCAAGAAAAAAATAGGACAGAGACATTTTCTCATATGCTTTAAGGTATGTCTATCAAAAAAAAAAACCAGAAAACACACCTTAAAACATAGGTGTTTTGGGATGATGAGTATAAAAAAGGAGTAATTTGTTACATGATATCTGTCAAATAAAATATTTTTTTAAAATTTTATTTCTTATATAAGTTTCATGTATTTCATTTATACAGATCTAGGAACATAGTGATACTTCCCACCCTACCCTCCTTCTGGCCCACGCTCCAACCCTTCTTACTCCTCCCTCTCCCATTCCCATTCTTAATTTTACAAAGATCTGTTTTCAGTTTATGTAGTGATAAAATTAACCCTACACTAAGTAAAAAAGAGTTCAACAAATAGTATGGAGGGGAAAAAAAAAAAAACACTACTCTTTAACAGAAAAGACAGAGGCTGTAAACAATCATCAAATCTAAAATGTCCATTTCACACCAATACATTACATTTTAGGTACTTTATTAGTTATCTCGTTCAGAGAAAACATATGGTATCTGTCTTTTTGGGATTGTCTTATTTCACTAAGTATAATGGTTTCCAGCTGCATTAATTTTGTTGCAAAAGACAGGATTTCAGGCTTTTTTTTACAGCTCAGTAGTACTCATAGTGTATATATATATCATACTTTCTTTATTTCTTTTTAAAAAGAGGTAGTTAACATGAAATAAAGTGTTTTCTATTTGTTTTAGCATACCTTTTGACCTTGCAAGTTACTTTCACCTAGTGCCAATGTTAGTATATCTGACCTTCACAAATACATGTCTAAATAGCAGTTAAGTTATAGAAAGACATTTATTTTAAAAAGTGTTTTGTAATCACCTCAATATAAAACTAATAGTAAAAGCATAGGCTGTACAATACTGTTCTAGGAACGTTATTAACTAGAAAAGACACAGCATTTGCTGGTTCACTCCTCAAATAGCCACAATAGCAGGAGCTGGTCCTGGTCGAATCTAGTAGCTTGGAATGCCATCCAGGCAGGTGGACAGGGGCCCAATTACATGGACCATTTTCTGTTGCCTTCCCAGGCACATTTGCAGAGAGCTGGATCAGAAGCAGAGCAGCTGTGTCTGGAATCGTGATTCTGATATGGGATTCCAGCACTGCAGGCTGCAGCTTAAACCACTGTACCACAATGCAGGCCCTAAAATATTATACTTTTAATTCTGTAATTTCAGAGGCCATTATTTAGGTGATTTAAGTGGCAATATGTTTTAAAGACATCTGGCAGCTCTTTCCATACTGATATTTAGATACCCTGTGGTGTCACAAAGTTCTATGCCTAGTGTGTCTCATAATTAATTGACTTAAGAATGTTAGTTATAACCAAGCTGCATTACCTAAGGTGCATGATCTTTTCTAACTCATGAACAAACTTTAATGAAGACATGAATAAAATATATTTTTACAAAGGTGTTTATTAAAAAAGCTAAGAATGTATGATGTCATGGGGAAATACATTATTCATGTTTACACATGGTTGATTATTATCTACAGAATGATAAAAATAAAAAATTGCATAAACTGACAGAGGTAATTTTATTAGTATTTAACAAAACAGACAAGAGTCTGCCAAAAACAATGGACTATTTCAGAAACCATATTAAATTTAAAAGGAGTATTTAACATTATGTAAGTCAAGTTTCAGAAGTAATAGATGGATCTATAGCTCAGGAAAGAGACCGTTTCCCCTTTAACTCAGCAGCATCTTCCAATCATATTAGTAAATTCTCAGTGTTCAACAAGGCTTCAGGAAAATGGTTCCCTAAATAAAATACTCATTAATGTTTCAATCACGATTCTGTACTCTGAATGACATTAGTTAACATTAATAGTAAAGTCAAAGTAACTGAAAACCCAGCTCTTATCTTCTTTTAAATTTCCTTCTCCTTTCCTTTCCACACAAGCCCAGAAAACATGTTTGTTTTGGAAGCAACTGGCAAGCACTTTGAAAGGAGACTTAAAGTGAGTGATTAATGATACAGGCAAAAATGCAAGACTACATCAGCTGATGAGTGGCTGACTAAACCAAGGTTGAAAAATATGAGGGCATTAAGGCAAAGCTGAAAAGGAACATGCCTTTCACAGTTAAATAATAGCATGAGACACCACGTCATCCTGTCAGATATCCAGAAACAGACCTAAGTTTGCAGTTTACACAGCATCAAAGGTGATCTTTGAAAGTCACAGGATATCTAGAAAGCTTGTGGCATAAAACCACAGAACCTATTTACAGCTACATAATGCGGTCATTTTCATGGCTTACTTCAAGAAATTCTATTGTATTCCCAATAATCAGAAATATAAACTCATAGCTCTAAACAAGCGTAATACAATTACATGGGAGGAACCTCAGGAAATGACTTAATACTATTTCAAAATGGAAATAGAGAAAACACTAGAACAAAAAAGTTTGATCTCAGAACTTCAGCAAAAATACTGAACTAATCTCGTTCACTCATCCTATAGAGCTGTCAATGCCTGTTTTTCTTCTAATTGAGAAAGTCAAAGATGAAACAAATCAACGAATATTGAAGACAAGTATAATTGGTTTAATGTTGTAGTTGAAATTTAACCGTGAAAAAGAATAAATCCAAAACATACTCAAATGCAGAGTTTGATGAACACTTCTTTTTGAAATGCATAGGTGAGGGGGATTCCACAGGAAGACAGGTGAAGACAGCAACACAGACAGGACCCTCCATTAGCCACCGTATCCTCTATACAAAATATGCATTCATATGTTATTGTATGAAGTAAACTGTACTTTAGAGTCTTGAGCATTATTACTTTTACATATGATTAAGATAGACAAATGTAACGAGGTGCCCTAAAGGACAGGCCTCAAAGAACAACTACTAGAGGAAGTGTAATTGACCCAAGGACATGGTTGCCACACCCTGAAAGTCACTGCTGGATTTGCATGGAGCCCACATCTGCCAACCCACTGAGCAGAGCAGAGGCATAGGTTTTCTCCAGGAGACGCCTAGATGGTTTTGCCTGGCAAATTTTATTTCTTCAATGCTACCCTTTGGGGAATTTTTTTG